CAACCTGGAAACCTCTTCCACAGCAGTGAGGGTAACATCACCCCTAATTACTGCAGGTGGATCTTGCCCAAACAAAGCTTTGTAGGGAGTAAGTTTCAATGCTGCATGATAATTGGTATTATACCAATATTCAGCCCAATGCAACCAGCTGAACCATTTCTTCGGTTTTCTTCCAGTTAAACATCTGAGATATGTTTCTAGGCATCTGTTAACCACCTCAGTCTGGCCATCCGTCTGAGGGTGGTAAGCTGTGCTGTACTTCAATTGGGTTCCAGCTAGTTTGAAAAGTTCTGACCAGAATGCACTTAAGAAAACACTGTCTATGTCACTTACTATGGTTTTTGGAAAACCATGTAATCTAACCACCTCCTTGATGAATACTTCTGCCACTTCCTTGGCATTATATGGATGTGACAGAGCTAAGAAATGAGCATACTTAGTTAGTCTGTCCACAATTACCAGAATGGTATCCTTCCCTTGAGACTTAGGTAATCCACCTATAAAATCCATGCTGATGTCAGTCCAAATGTTACTAGGAATAGGTAAAGGCTGTAGCAATCCTGCAGGTTTGAGTGCTTGATACTTATTTGTCTGGCAGATCATACATTCTTCCACAAACTTCTTGATATCTTTTCTCATTCCCTGCCAAAAGAAAAGATTAGAGATTCTTTTCATTGTTCGGAAGTAACCAGAGTGCCCTCCAAAAGCAGACTCATGATATTCCTTCAATATCTTGTTTATTCTAGTTGACCCCTGTGGCAGAACTAATCTCTTGTTGTAGTATAATAACCCTTTTGTAATCTGAAATTCAGAATGTTGATCTGGGTGTGAAATTACATTCTGAATTAATTCTTTACATTTAGGGTCTGACTTCAATTCCTCTTCCAACCCTTCCCATTCTTGGCATGTTACAATGGATAATGATTGTAACATTGGTCTTCTAGATAAAGCATCAGCAGCCCTATTCTCAACCCCTGGTCTGTATCTTATTGTAAAGTTATATCCCAGCAGCTTAGAAGTCCATTTATGTTGTTCTTCTCCCATCAATCTCTGCTCAGTTAGAAATTTAAGGCTCTTTTGATCAGTTAGAATCTCAAATGTTCTTCCTAACAAATAAGGTCTCCATTTTTGGACTGCAAGAACAATTGCCATGAGTTCTCTTTCATAGACAGATCTGTTTTGGTTTCTCTTTGATAATACCTTGCTCATGAATGCAATTGGTCTTCCTTCTTGTGTTAACACTGCCCCCAAACCAGTCCCAGATGCATCCGTCTCAAGGATAAAAGTTTTGTTGAAATTAGGTGTAGCTAGTATTGGTAGTGAAGTCATTGTCTTTTTCAATTCCTCAAAAACTTGTGTAGCCTTCTCATCCCAATGGAAGCTGTCTTTCTTTAAAAGTTGTGTAAGGGGTAATGCAATTTTACTATACCCCTTCACAAATCTTCTATAGTAACCAGTTAACCCTAAAAAACCCCTTAACTCCTTCAAATTTTTGGGTTCTGGCCACTTAATCATTGCCTCTATCTTAGCAGGGTCAGCTGCTACTCCATTTCCAGATATGATGTGCCCTAAGTAGATCAATTGAGGTTGTCCAAAAGAACATTTTTTAAGGTTAATCACCAACTGATTATCCCTCAAAGCAGCTAAAACTGCTCTCAAATGTTCCTGGTGTTCCTCTGAAGTTCTACTATAGACCAATATGTCATCAAAAAATACTAAGGCATATTTTCTCAAGTAAGGCCTTAATACCTGATTCATCAAAGCCTGAAAAGTAGATGGTGCGTTGTTAAGCCAAAAGGCATTACTAAATATTCGTAATGACCTTCATGCGTTCTGAATGCTGTCTTTTGCCTGTCCTCCTCCTTCATTCTGATCTGGTGATAACCAGATTTAAGATCCAGTTTGGAAAAAATGTTGGCCCCACCTAGTTCATCAAGCAATTCTTCTATGATGGGTATTGGAAACTTATCAGGGACTGTAATCTTATTTAAAGCTCTGTAGTCCCCACAGAACCTCCATCCTCCATCTTTCTTCCTTGCTAAAAGTATAGGACTGCTATAGGGGCTGTTGCTTGGCTGAATAATTCCTTCAGTTAACATTTCTTGTATAATTCTCTCGATTTCAGTCTTCTGATATTGTGGATATCTGTATGGCCTCAGATTAGGTATTTTAGCTCCTTCTTAAATCTTTATAGCATGGTCACAAGCTCTCTTTGGTGGTAGTTTCTTCAATGGCTGTGAAATCTCAGGAAATTCAGTCATTATTTTCTTCCAGGTTTCATCCTCTTCCTTTCTTTCTTGTTCTTTTTGTGTCTTTCCTTCACAGTAGATCAAATACCCCTCTCCAGCATCATGTAATATCTGTGTAGTGGTTTTTAGAGAAATCTCCAATGAATTGAACTGTTTATCCCCTTGAATCATCTTATCTTCCCCATTGTCTTCCCACTTTATTGTCTGCTTTTGGAAATTGATCTCAACATCTCCCAAGGTTGTCAGCCAAGCCATTCCAAGTACCAAATCAGTACCTCCCAATTCCAAGATATAGAAATCCTGCTGCACTGTGGTGTTTTGCAAACATAATGATAATGCTTCACACCTAGCATTATTGCATATCTTGTCCCCGTTCCCTATCTGCACCTTATAACCATTGATGGTACTATAAGGAATCTTCATTCTATCCACCATCTTCTGTGCAATGAAGTTATGTGAGGCTCCACTATCAATCAGCACCTCTACATTGACTTCCCCCCATTCTCCTTTTATCATACCTCTGACTTTGAATGCTCTCAAGGAAGGAATACCTTCTTTGCTCATCAAGGATAACTGCATGGATTTAGATTCCATAATGATCTCTTCTTCTTCTGTATTGGTATCATCTGAATCATCAGAATCCTCCTCTTCTTCTGAATCTTCTACCATGATCAGCTTGTAGTTCTTTAGTTTACAAGTATGTTGTTTATTCCATTTGTCTCCACACTTGAAACAAAGCCCTTTTCTGCTTCTATTCTGATATTCCTCTTGTGACAATTGTGGTCCCACTTTCTTGAATGCAGAAGGCTGCATGTCAGTGATGTTCTTCCCCATAGAACTGATCCCAGAAAAATTACTTCTGTTTTCCCTTACACCTTTACCCCCAGAATACCAAGAGTTTCCAGTCTTGGATTTGTAATTCTCTCCTCCAAACTGAGATTTAGAAACATATACACCTTTCTCTTTTCCCCCATATCTGTCTTCTTCCATTATTTTCAACTGTATTGCATCATTTTTCAATTCTATCAAGGTAGCCTTCTCCATAATCTCAGTTAGAGATTTTGAAACATATAGTTTCATTTCTGCTTTAATTTCATTCTTCAAACCCTTAATGAATATGCCTCTCAACAGCTCTCTGTCTTTGTTTTTCTGATGAGAAATCACCATTTCAAATTCATCTCTATATTCTTGTACAGATCCAGTTTGTTTCAGACTTAACATATGATCATATGGGTTCTGAATTAACTCCGGTTGAAACCTACGTATGACAGATTTCTTAAGAGTTTCCCAATCCATTACTTCAGTCTGACTTTCCCACACATGAAACCAATTTAGAGCTTTATCTTCCATTGCCACCATAGATGCTTCAACCATTTCTTCCTCCTCAATATTATTCAGTCTAAAATACCTTTCCATCCGTATAACCCAATTATATGCACCAGTTCCATTAAACAGGGGTAAATCAATCTTTCTACCCGGTTGTATAGGAAATCTAGGGTTTTCATCTCTGCGTCTGTGATTATGAATATGCGAATGAGTGGAGTTACCTCTGGAAGTGTTCGGACTACTCGATGTTCTCGATCGATGACGTTGTGGTGATCGCGACCTCCTTCCTTCGCGATATTGGTTCTGCATGTCCGTCATCCTTCCATTCATTGTTTCGAATTGTCTATTCATCGCTACCATCAGATTCTCCAATCTGTCCTCCATTCTGATTAGCGCCTCATCTGTCGCTAATTTACCGATCTCCAAGGTTTCCATTCGCTGCTCCATCTTTGCCCTTGTACGAACCATTCACCGAATGAAAAAAAAAAATCCGGTACTATCAGCGACAAAACAGATCACCAGAATCGATGCTCTGATACCAATGATAAGATACAGGATAGTTCAGACTTCAGAGTAATGATTGTAGTAAAATCAATCCACACTTATCAAGAAATGAGAGAATTAGGGTTTATAGATGATATGAAATGAACAAGAGGTGAATACAAGCAAGGGGGACAGTTCGAGATGCCCAGTCTCCAACAGAAATAGTCAACAAGTCTAACAACCTCCTCTACTAGTTCTATAAACTTCTATTTATAGTAAGTGGTCCACGCAGGGACTAAAACAACTGCACAACATAGCTAACAGACTAGTTAGTTAGTACTAACTGCCTTACTCCTCCTCCTTTGGTAAACTCTATTATAAAACTGATCCGGTTGCCTTGCTGCTTGTCTAACACAAAGGCTCCCGGGAAACCAAATCCAAGCAACACAGTTTTGAGGAACCCCCAATCAACTGTATCAAAAGCCTTCCTAAGATCAGCCTTTATTAGACACCTAGGAGAAATCCATTTCCTAGCATAGCCTCTCACCAATTCTTGGGTTAGAAATATGTTATCAGATAACCCCCTCCCTTCCACAAAAGCCCCTTGAGCCGGATCAATCAAATCAGGTAATAAGCAGTTCAACCTCAAAGCTAGAATCTTAGTGATCACCTTATATAACACGTTTGTACATGATATAGGTCTAAAATCACTAACCTTTGGGTTGAGATTAGTTTTAGGGATCAGGGCCACAATAGTATGATTGATTTGTTTCAGTAGCTTTCCAGAAATAAAGAACTCTTTAACTGCACTGGTTACATCTCTTCCAACAACCTCCCAGTTCTTTTTGAAAAAACCTGCGGAGAACCCGTCAGGGCCTGGGGCTTTATCGTCTCCAATGCTGAAAACTGCATTCTTAATGTCAATATCCTCAATGGGGGCCAACAAGAAATCCTCCATCTCTGTGGAAACTAATCTTCCCTTCTTAATAACCTGTTCACGAGCTGGAATGCAGATTGATGGAGTGCCAAAGAGCTCCTGGAAGAAACCAACAAATTCTTTTGCCACTTCTGACAGAGAAGTAGTGGGTTCACCATCCTTCTTTGTGATAAATGCAATGGTATTCCTAGCCGCATTCTTCTTTGATATGGAGTGAAAGTATTTGGTGCTTCTATCAGCCTCCATTAGGTGCGTTGCTTTTGCTTTTTGCTGAAAGAATATCTTCTCAGCGTCCCCTAAAAACAAAGCTTTATGCCTTAAGGTGTTGACAGTTTCCAACAGATGAGGGTTTGAGGGATCATCCAAGAGGCGTTTATGAGCTACTTCAAACTCCTCATTAGCTTTACTGGCTCTTGAAGAGATGTGAGAGAACTCATTCCAGTTTAGTTGCTTCAAAGGGCCTTTCAAACTCTTCAATTTCGCGCAAAGGATCTTTTGTCGGTTACCCACCACTGGCATATCCCAAACTTCATTCAAAATGTATTTAAATTTAGGTGCTTTCATCCACATGTTGTAGAACTTGAAAGGCTTGCATCCGCCTTCCTCGTTCCTCACCAAATTAACAACAACAGGGCAATGGTCAGACGCCACATCGAATCCCAAGAATTCAGCATGACATAGAAGTCTTTGGTCTCTCCAACACTGGTTGGCTAAAACCCTATCAAGTTTGGCCCACTTCTGATTTCTCCTCCAAGTAAACAAATCACCAGATGCAGTTGCGTCCTCCAACTCTAGTAGATTCATACAATCTACCAAGTCAGTCATCTGGTAAGCTAGAGGTTCATCACTCCCTAACCTCTCTTCTGGTGAGCACACACAATTGAAATCTCCCAAGACGATCCAAGGCAATGTAATAGACCTCCCAAGGTTTAGAATATGATCCCATAACCTCCTTCTCTCCCTGACAGTATATACTGCATACACAAGGGTAGCAAGAAATGGAAGCTGTGATATCATACACTTTAGCTTGCAGTGGATAAATTGGGATCCCTTATCAAGAACTTCGCATGAAACTCTAGTTGGGTCCCAACAGACCCCCATCCTTCCACCCTCCATATGATTGAAATTGCTTTCGTAAATCCATCCTCCCAACTTCTTTTCGATAAACTCTTTCAGCTTACCTTCATCTCTAAGTTTAGTTTCCAAGAGTGAACTAAAAACAATATTATGCTTTCTAATATACTGTACAATAGTGTTTTGTTTAGAGGCAGTATTCATGCCTCTTACATTCCAGGATAAGATCTTCATTTAATACTGGTAGAGGCTGTGTAGCTCCCATTCACCCCTTTATCAAGTTTAATGTTCCTGTGTGCCTCAGGCATTGATCCATTTGGACCCAATTTAGTGACACCACTTGAATTCGCCTTATTGGTTGTACTGCCATCTATTATCTTCTTCACAGGAACCGCCCTATTATTATTAGCCAAAGTGCCACCCTCATTTGGAACTGTTCCAGCCCTCTTAAGCTTCTCAGGCCCATTTTCCACTACTTTCGCATCAGTGTTCCTTGTCTCTCCTACAAGTTTGGATAGTGGGGCTGTTTTCGCACTAGTATGACCTATTTCCTTTTGGGTATTTCCACCCTCCTGTGTCGTCTGGATGCCTGCACTCTTTGCTTCCTCTTCAATTATTTCCCCCCTTTTTTTGATAGGACATTTAGCTATGGACATGGCCTCCTGAGGTTGATCATCTATGACTTGCACAGATGTAATTGCATGGTCCTCCCCTATCTCCTTTTCTCTTTCAAGCTGGTGGAGCACCTTGCAGGTAAAAGCATGATGACCGTATTTTTTGCAATGGAAGCAATAGTCTGGGAAAGTCTCGTATATGACGAACTGCCTCCTTTTCCTCCCATTTGGCAATTTTATATCAACAAAAAGTGGTGGAGGTTTGGACACATCTACTTCCACCAAAACTCTAGCATAATTCAACATTGTCTTCTCACTTGTAACTCCATCCGTAAAGATAGGCATGCCCAGCCTAGATGATATCTTACTAACTGAGTCCTCACTCCAACAATCCATAGGTAGGTGAGGTAGTTTGAGCCAGATGGGAACCTTTAAAAATTCTTCGTCTTCAAAGCTGAAGCCTTGTTGAAGGTTTTTCAGCATTAGTGATCGGCCTAACACCATGTACGGACCTCCCATCAAAACCTTTGTTCTATCTTCCTCACTCTTGAATTGAAAAATCACCCAACCTTTTTTATGTGGTAGAAGCTTACACCTTACTCCCCATGATTCCATAAGATTGTGTATAGCTCTCATCCCAGGAAAGTCCCCGGTGAAGCAGCCTACTAAGCAGTAGCCCCAAATTGAGATTAAGTCACATAGTGTTCCATCTGATAGGTCTACGAAGTCACCCTCTGGTTCTATGTATCGTAGCTTTAGTCCTTTTGAGGGTGCTCTGTTGTCTTTAAACAAACCTGCCCAGGATGATTTCGTTCCAGCACCTCTAGTTGGTTCGGGCAATTTATCAGTAACCTTATGTGCCTTAAACAACTCTGCTTCTCCATCTTTTCTTTCTCCTTGTGTTTGGTTTTCTTCACTGGACTCCCTGCATACTTCAACATCCTCCACAATCTCCTTGTTCAAATCAACAACTACTGCATTTTTCCTTTGTTCCATGTTTCCCAAAGTATCCATTTGAGTACTCTTAGGTTCTGCATCCTTGGATGTAGACGGACCCATTTTGCCCTTTGCTCCATTCTTCTTGTTCTTCCCCATCATGGGCGGGAAGAACTCAAAAGGCCTAAAAGCCAGAGGTCCTAGCTACGTGGATCAAGCAACCGATTTCCAGAATTACAGGTTTCTGCAATTTGGAGAGAGAAAAGCTCTCAAGACCGGTCAACCGTATAAAGTACGTGTTTGTGCATACTTGTGTACAGTCTATCATCTTTTCATCACGTTTATTCACTTTTCTGCAAGTGTGAAACTGCATATTATTAATACGGAGGGACTTGTTTTGCTATTTTTTCATTTTACTCTTCTATAATCATTTAGTTGTTGTCATTGTAATTTAGTGTTGTATTTGTGCGATGCACGGGAATATATATATATATACGATTGGTATGAAATTCGAATTAAAAATAAAGAAAATTTTAAAAACATTAAAGAGAAAACAATATTCCTTAAATAATATAATATAACCATTACACATATAATTAAAAACACACAAACAATGCAGATCTATATTTGTATATACAGTATACGACAACAGTATATATCCAAACTCAACAATTTGTAATTTATTTATAAATATATTTCACCTCCAATATTATGGACTTTTTAAATTTTAATGCCAACGTGTCAATGATATATCCAATTTTGTGTTGAAATAATATCACTTGGAATTTTGTATTTAAATTGAAAGGAATATAGCATTGCAATTTGGTAGAATGTATAAACAGAAATTTACATAAAAATTTAGGGACAAATAATTAAAGTACTCCTCACTTTAAAGAGGTGTGAGTTAAACATCCCAAACTTGCATTTGCAATTTCAATATCTTGATCTTTATGTTAGTACCATGAACATCTTAAGCATATTTTTACCATAAATATATGATCATAAATTTTAAATTAATAATATGACCATGATGCTAAATTAACTTTTTATGTCAAGTTTGAGGTATATATACCGTAACTTAACCATTTATAGTAAGATATGGTAAATAACATATTTAACAATTTGTAGTAATACAATATAGTTGGGACAGCAGGTAAAGTTAATAACTTAAAATTAAAAAAACAGCTAAAGAATATGTGTATAGATTTCAATATTCAAGTGCTTCCCCTTTCTTTCGTGAACCATGCAAAACATTTAAAATCCCGAGGCTGGCTGGTTATATATATGGCTAATTGGCTAGGAAATGTCAATCTCGTTCTTAGTCTTGAATCTAGTAGAAAATATTTATGTATATTTATGTACATCATGCACAACAGAAAATCAGACAAATCTTTAGGTTCCATCTCCATTTTCTAAACTTCAATTTCAGGCTTAAACTATCCTCAAATTAAATGGAAATATTCTCTTCAACCCTTTTCCAATATCATGCTCTCTTTTTGTTGGATTTCATTTTACTTTAGTGAAATATGGAGTAGAAATTAAGACGTCCTTCAGCTATTGGATTTTTACCGTTCCATCCAGTTCAACTTGCATTGCATTCCATTAGTTTCCGGTTACAAAATTAATTTTAAATTAATTTTTCTTTCTTCAATATATGAATTGAAATTGAATCTCGAATTTCGTTAACTCTCAAATTCTAAAACAGTTGAACTATTACATCGCAGGAATGATAACTGTAGTGTTAATACGTTTTACAAATTGAATTAGTTTCTGATTGCTATGTTTATTGGCAAAACAAATCTATTTGCAATTTTTTCCCCATATAATTCTTTTTTTTTAATCGAAATCCATATAATTCTAAATTTCTAACACCTGAAAATCTGAAATTACCCATGGCAGACCAATTACGGGTCTATTATCGGACTAAAAAAAAATCAAACCCATCAACCTCATTCCATTAGTCTTGATTATACTCCGTAAATTATTTTTAGACCGACAACGAAAGTATGGCATGTTTCAATTGGAAATTGGCTGCAATTAATATTAAACTGATAGGGGCATAGCATAGCAAGCTTTTAGCTATCTTAAATTATAAAGCTGAAAAGGAAAGATACACATGAAAATAAAGATTTTGGAAAGCAAAATTGATAATGAAGAGCCCGTTTGGTAGCATGAAAATCGGCTGTTTTGGCTGATTCTGCCAAAATTTTAGAAGTTATGGCTGAAGTGGTTGCATTGGTTGATTCTGCTGATTTAAGAAAAAAAAAAAAAATTAATATATTTTATTTAAAAAATAAATAAATAAATATATGTAAAAATAGCTAAATAGTCATCTATCTAAAGTAACTTCAGCCAGAAAAGTAACTACAACCTTACTTTTTCTGCTTATTACACAATTCAGCGTGCGAATGCAAAAGTTATGTGTTTGGTGAAAAAGTTAATTGATAAGTCTGATAAGCTGAAAAACAGTGTTGCCAAACGGCCTCGGAGAATACAACTTAAAGTGTGATGTTAGGATTGTAATTGTGATGTTAGGATTGTAGTAACTATGCATCATCAAATAATACAGGATTGTACAACCGACCAGCCTGTATGGTTGTACATATCAAGAAAATAGAATGGGGATATATAATGAAGATTTTTATATGTCTCCCGTAGGATTAGAGCTCATGTTTCCACAATTCCACCTACAGGGAAAATCTATAATTACATTTCTATAAGAAAAGCATTACTACATGGAGATTCAAAGATCAATACGGCAGAAAAAATAGCTTACCCCCGCCTACATAATCCAAACTGATGCCGCTGGTTTATCGTTCACTCATGCGTATGGTGTTTGCAATTTATAGAGAGGCAAGTCGGAAGTGCATTTTACAGAATATATAAATCACAGTGATGAACTACAATAAATGATCCATAGAAAGTTTAAAAGACACATACTATATATTACACCAAAGTTATTCTGCTACCTTCGTAAACTGTTCCACTTCCCGACCTTCAATTTTCACATCTATATCTATACTAGTTTTATAACTGCGCGTTGCGCGATTGTATATGCCCAATATAATTTTTATTTTTTTTAAATCATCCACAAAGACATAGTAGTAAGAAATATCATACCTTTTGGAAAAAAGTGTTAAAAACAAAAAAAAATCATATTGGTATACCGGATAAGCACCATCAGTCCAAAGTACTACGGGTCTGTTTGCAACTGCTTTTAAAAAAGCACTTCTCAGCTTTTGGCTTTAAAAAAACACTTATTTTCCCAAACATTACAACTTTTATTTTTCTTGCCTTCCGCGTCAAAAGTGCTTTTACTTTTTTCATTACACAAAAAGCACTTATTTTACCAAACACTACCCACTTTTACTTTTCAAAATCACTTTTTCCTCAAACACTATCAACTTTTATTTAATCACTTCTCCCCATTTCATTAAAAAAAGCACTTTTTTAAAAGCAGAAACTGTTGCAAACAGACCCTACCTATAACTCGAATTTATATATGTGAAAATTTGAGAGAAAAACGCATAAACAATAATTTAATTATTGATATTATATATTTCACTTTGATATCTTAATTTACTCTTAAGAAAATGAATCAAAACAATATCATATGCATGTCATAATTACACATAAAGTTCATGCATAAAGTTCATTGCGTGTAATATACGCTACTTTTATCAATGTCATCACTGTGCATTAAGTAAATAACACATATCTATTGACTTTTCCAAACGTTCAATGAGGTTAGTTAAACAGAGAAATCAGACCCTCTCAACTTAAAACAATATCGGAGAAGTTTTTAACAGGTTAATCTGATTGCAGAGAACATGTCTCCCTAATTCAAGGGGCTCCAATTTTCTAAAAGTTAATTAGTATTAAATAGTAGTATTATACTTCATGTATTAATACAGATCGCTAATATATACGGAGTAGTAAGGAAAAATAATGCAGATTCCTTTTAGTCCCCTTTTGCTCAAATTGATAGAGCAATGAGTTGTGTTGCTTTATCAAATATTAAGTAACTTTCAATTTTTTTTTAAATTGCATTGTTTAATGAGCATTCAATTTGTTTGAATATGAATATCTAAATTGGAAATATCTTTAGTTTTTTATATTAATTAATGTGGCCCTTTGATTTTGCATTTTTAACCAGAGCATCTCAATTCATTAGACGCTGCATAACACTCTTCTATGCTAATATTTGCATACTTGTATCCCCTTTTTTATTTTATTTGCATGTCTCCTTCTTGAAGTCATTTCTTTTCCGAATTAATTCTAAATCTGATGCTACTATTAAATACATGAATTCTCTAATGAACTTGTACAAGGATATGGTTACTCAGATTCTAAATACACACGGCCACACGGGTGCGCATGAGATTGCCCTAAACTATTTGTTGACCATGAGTAAGTAAATTGGTTAATAGCCAAACTATCGAAATACAAGAATGTGGAAAAAACAAGAAATCACAAATAAAAACTTTGAATAAATTTGCAAAGAAACACACAAATATCACGTTTGTCAAAGGAATGCCACCCATATGTAACTTCGATTTTGGATTAAAAAACATATAGATGATCTTCATTGTATTTGAGAGAGAATGAATGTGATGTCCACTGCTTGGATACAAAAGTGAAGAATGACATACTAAAACAACAACAACATCTAAGTTTTAGTCACAAAAGATTTTGGGGTCGGCTGACATGAAACGATACATGCATGGGCGTAGCTAGGGGAGGCCCAGCCGAGACCCAGCCCAAAATTTAAAAATGTATATAATTTTAATTTTAAAAATTTAGTGTAAACAAGTTTTCAAAAATATTCTTTGTACCGACCCACCGGTGCCCTAGCTTCGATCCTGGATACATGATATCAGAACTAAAAGGAAAAGAAAAATAAAAAAAATAAAAACATAAATTATGATATATAAAAAAGATATAAAAAGAGATGGAATATATAAAAATGCCATCACCACCACCTTAAGAATTAGCTCTTATCATGTACGTAGTACAATAAAAAATGGACGTACCATTCATAAAAAGCCTTAGTAATAATAATAATCAATAGTACTAATGATAACAACTTTAATTATTATAATAGTAATAATAATACTATACTAATAATAATAATAATAATAATAATAATAATAATAATAATAATAATAATAATAATAATAATAATAATAATAATAATAATACTCATAAAGAGATGGTTTCTATTTATAATTAACAACGTTCCTGCAGCTCAAGTTTAGCGTACAACCATTTGTATTATGTAGTATTATTTAGGATTGAAGATAGT